TCAGCAGGTTGCAGCTTTCCAGCCTGACATCCAGATTCAAATAAAACTATATAAACCAACAAAGCAATCCTTGAACCTTTTACTTTACACTGGAAATGGCTAGTTTAACTTTCATTTATCATTTAGTTTAATGACACCAACTATACATTTCTCTACCTCAACAGAGAAAGACAACTGGCTTTCTGGTTATAAGCTAATGTTTTGTTCATAGCACCTAGCCTTACCAACAACTTTTAGCATGAGAAACGTGTTAACATGGCTACCATGACATCACTTATCCATATTATGCATTAATTACTCCTCATACTCAGAGGGGCATCCTCTGTGGGGAGAACACTGCTCACATTTGTGCTGTCTGAGCCCTGCTGCTGGAGAAAGGCTGACAAAACTGTAACCAGCTCTTCAGGAAAAATTCTCAGCAGGGTCAGTGTCATTTGACACCAAATGTGCTACTGCCTCCAGCAGCAACAACAACAACAACAGCAACAACAACAGAAAAAGGATTGAGAAATCAAAAAGGAGGCATCAGGCATCCTGTGAATTGAAACTTGACCTTAGACTTGGTTACACTGTTTGTTGATCCCTGGTGGTTTCAATTCACATGAGATTTTACAAACTGAGGATAAACACGTGACAGCCACCTGACTGCCACTTCATGTCTCGGGATAAACAACAACAACAACTGCAGAGGTGTTTTTCTTTCAGGGTCATCTGTGGCCCGTGTAATAATATGAGCTGTGTGTGTTTTGCACACTATGCTGTCCCTGACCCATTCTGATCAGGCAGCCAGGAAGCATGATTCAGTAACAGGTTGAAGTGGGTCCATTAGCTCCATGATGCTACAAGCTTTAACATCCTCTTGAGTGATCTTTACATGAAGAAATCTGGTTATTTAGTAGACAAGCGAGTCACAGGTGGTATAGCATACCCGTGGATATTAAATGTGAATGGATGTTAAGTGTCACATATACACAGTAATAGTAACATTAAAGGAGACACATATACAAAGAAAGGTCAAGAATCGGATGTACACACACTGGTCTAGAAGTACAGCATCTTTAGGTTATGCAGACCAAGATGTTATAATGTAAATGTTCGCTTTTTTTCACCTGTTTCACAAGTGTGAAATCAGTTTTCCTTATGAAAAAAGCCACATGCAACTGACAAGCCAAAAATTAAACAAATACGTGTTGCATCTGTTGCAAAGGCATTGTAGGTCCAGCCAGGCACAGTCTTGAGCCATAATCCTGTTGTTGTGGTCCATGAATTCTCAGTAACCAACATGTTTATGTGTGTTGTTAGAGCCTTTTCTCAAGTTCCAGCTTACTGTTTTCTCATTTGACTGCTGAAACTCACACCGTTAAATGACAAGCAGTAAAGGCAAGCATGTGGTTGCTCCATGCAGACAGACACCGGACACTCCGCTGCTGCTCTTATGTCTCCACATATACAAATACACACACACACCTTAGTGATCTCAACACAGTACACTCAAGGCTAAGCAGTAGTTCCATTACCTACTGATCTGAAACACACACAGCTGATTTATCATCTATACTGTATGTATCACACACCAACAGGAAGTCAATCTGATGGCTTACAGGCTAACCAATCTACCAGGCAACACGTCTGACAGCAAACAGAGATCACAGTGAACCTTCTTGCTGTGAGGTGACAGTGCTGATCACTGCACCACAGTGCCAAGGTTACAACAGAGTGACTTCAAACAATTATCAGAGAATCTTAGCGACACAAATGAAAAGTGGAAGGTAAATGTGCAGAACAAACTACCAAAATAAACCAATGTCCTTCCTATTTAAATATGTCAGGATTCCATTTTTCCACACCTGCCTTGTGAATTACATACAGTAGATTATAGAAACAAACAAACTCTTCAACAAAATTCCCCATCTCTCCTTCTGCTTTCCCTTCGGTAGGTCCTCCAGTAAATATGATGCTTTAGACCAGGGGTGTCACACTCATTATCACCGAGGGCCACATCAGCATAATGGTTGCCCTCAAAGGGCCAGATTAACAGTATAAATGTAACTAAATGTAATTCAAAATAAATTCAAAACCCACATTACTCCATCAATCAAACTAGTCAAGTAAATAAAGAATAATATATAATGCACATTACTGTGGGTTCAGGAAAATATCAAAAAAGAATTTATGATATTAACTTTATTCAAAACGTTTTGTCACAGTCAAGGGGGGCAGAACTATGGCACAACCAACAAGTGTGACAGAAGTAGCATTTTACAACAACAACAACAACAACGAGGTGTTGCTGCGGTGATGCTGCCTGTCCTTGAACACACCAAGTAGATCCCTCCTCACCCACAGACACCATCTCACACACTTCCTCATCCATAGATGATGTTCTGAAAATAATAAACACAAAACAAAATGCAAGCACAATCATTAAATCGCACACATATTCTACTGTTCTCCGTCTTGGTTGAAATGCATTCTATTTTAATAAAAATGCTTACCTATGTGTTTTCTGGACGGATGTCTGACATTGTTTCCCCCTGACCAGTGTGTCAATGTCTGGTTTTAGGTCTTGTGACCTGGCAATCCGCAAACAGTTAGGAGGTTGTCATCGGTAATGCGTGATCTGTGCTTGGTCTTGTTTAGATTTATTATTGAAAAGATCTGTTCGCACAGATAGGTGCTCCCAAACATTGACAGAACACGAGAAGCATGAAGTCAGAGCTGTGGCATCAAACCGGGGGTAGTAGACGGTAAAAGTCCTCGATTACAGCATCTTGGAATCAGGCCACTATCACTTTGAAGCTCAATTAACTCCATCTGAAGGTGATGGGGCGCACTGCAGACGTCGGCGGTGAAAGGATCGGCAAAGATGGCAAAACCAGAGTGTTGTGCTTTAAAGTCAGAAAAGTGCCGATCACACTCATTCATTAACCAGTTCAGTTTGGTAGCCGACTGAGCACATGAAAAAGCACCGGGAACTGAGGCTGAGATGCTCTGACAAACAGGAAAGTGGGCGAGATTGTTCCTGTTCCACCTGTCACTTCCATAGGTCGAGTTTACGCTGGAAAGCTGTGATCATGTTGGACATCTGTGTGATGACTTGTTTACGTCCCTGCAGCTTCTGATTCAGTTGAGCGAGATGCTCGGTTATGTCAACAACCAAGCAAAGTCACACAACCAGTTTGGAATTTGAGAGTTCAGACAAGGGTTTTCCTTTGCTCTGCATGAAAAGAGCAATTACTTCCCTAAGCTCAAAAAAATCATTTGAGGACTTTGCTCCTACTCAGCCACCTTACTTCTGTCTGGTACAGCACGTCTCCAAGCTCCGAGCCCACCTCCTGCAAGAACAGCTGGAATTGGTGGTGATTCAGGCCACGCGCCCGAATAAAGTTCATAAATAAAGTACTGTTTTCATGACCGTGGTCATTATATCATCCAGCTGCACAGAGCTTCTTGATGGATAATGCAATGATACGTTATCAGAGGCGTGTTACTTTTTTGTAATT